ATTTGGCAAAGATAGCGGGAGGAATATATTTATCCATAGGTTTAGTTGCCATTTTGTATTTTATGAATTTTTGGAGTCTTGTATTAGATTGGAGGCTAGTGATCAGTTTGTTGTAATACTATGTGTTAGTGTCAAATGGCTGTATAATTTCCTTTGTTAGTTCTTTGTGTATATGTTCTAGCCATTTCTGGGTTGAGTCTTTATCTATTTGTATTGTGTTGTTGCTCAGGTTTCGTTTGGCTACTTAACTGTATGTGAGCATCTCCTGTTGTGCTAATATTGTTGAGGCTGTGTCAGTTTCCATTTTGTTGTTGTATTGTGTATTGTTTATTACTTCAGGATTAGTAGTTCCTGCATCTTCTAAGTTTTCTTGCTCTGTTGCTGTATTGTTAATCTGGGGTTGGGGCATGGCTGTATTGTTGTTGTTATTCATGTGAGGTGAGTTGCCTAAAATGGTAATGTTGGGGTTGTTGTTGTAGAAGATTATCATTGTATTGTTGTTTTTTTTCATGGTTTCTGTTTGGATGTTGTTAAAACCTGTTTAGATGAGTTGGTTGTTGTTGTTGTTTTGGTGTGATGATGTTATGCTATTTTTTGGAGGGGTAAGTTAGATAGCCCACTTTTGGTATTTGAGTGTGGTCTAGAAAGAAGTGTACATCACCTTTTTGCACTAGTATTAGTGTAGGTAGAGTCAAGTTTGGCTAAGACCTTCTTTTTGCCTTTGCTTTTACTAGTGTTTTTACTATTGTTGTTGTTAATTTGGAGTTGTGGTTGTATTGATAGCGTAAAGGGTACTATAGAGCTCAAGGGCCTCGCATTTTCTTTGTTGTTGGTGGTGTGGTTCTTGCTACTCTGTTTTCTCTTTATGTTGGTACTTAGTAGAGTAGTGTAGTGGTGTGTTGGTATATTTTGTAGTCTTTTCTTCTATGTAATTAATTATTTATTTAATAGCTTGTCAGTTTTGTTGTATCATTTTTGTTTAACTATAGAAATTGAGATCTATAGAAAAGAGTTTTAAAATTTCTACTATATACTATCTTTGTACAAAGTTGCTAAAACTATTATTATATAATATAGCTAATCTATTATATTTAGCAATTACTGCTAAATCTGTTTTTATTAAATTTGAATCAAATTCCATAATATTTAATAAGTTCCATATTGGAGATCTATTTATTACAACATATGCTTAACCAAATATAAATATTTGTTTATTAATTGCAACTGAAATATTAGATATAGATAAACTTTGTATTTTGTGTATTGTAAGTACAAAGCATTTTGCAATGAAAATTGATGTCGACTTGCTAGCAATCTATTTAAAAAAAATCATTTAGTCATTTTTTTATCAATACAATAATCATATTTTGTGATATTGAAAATACAACATTAATAGAATTTTCATCAACTAGTTTAGTAATAATACTAATAGATCAATTACAAAGTTCAAGATCAAACAAAATATTGTCAAGATACATAACTCAAGCACCTTTTTGTAAAATTAATATTGCAGGTAAATTTGTATGATATTGAAAAAAACAATCACTTTCTGTTATATCCCATTTTTTACTATTAATATAATTAATTGCAGTCATAATTATTGGACCAAGATCATTAGATTCTAGTAGTAAGGCTAAATATATTATTTTGTTTATATTATCTACTATAGTACAAAAACCTACTAAGTGTGTAGTATTAATTACAGAGTAAGACAAAAGGCTTTTTATTTTATCATTAATTAGTTGTATAGTTGTAGATGATACAATACCTATATAAATTTCTTTAAGTATTTTGTAAAAATTAATATCTTGACATTGTTATTATGAAGTTGATAGAAAAATAAGAAAAAATTTAGACCAAACAGGTAATTGTAAAACTTGAGCACTATTTATAAATAGTAGTTGTGCAAAATTACCAATAAGCAAAACTTTAATTCTACTAAATAGTAAAACATTATTATATAAAAGAGCAAAAGACTACTTATAAATGTTAATAAACTTGCAGATACTATAGATATTTCATCAATTATAATAACATATATGCTTAAAAAATATTGATGATACTCTTGCAATATATTATTGTTTATATTTTATCAACTAGTTGTTGATAATTATGAGTAAATTTAGCAAATCTTGCAGATATAGATTGGTTAATATTTTGTATAGCCTGGAAATACAGTATAGGAAATTTAGCATGATAATATTCACGATAATTTGTATATAATTCTAATAATTCTTTTTTACTTCTCTATAGTAATTAAATCAAGAGCTTTTGATAGAAAAATAGCTTACTATCTTCAACTGCTAAATTTTAAAACCATAATAAAATTAGTTTTTTTTATTGGATTACAAAATTTTCTTGCTAATCAACCTAATAAATAATGTTTAAATTTGGTTGATTAAATTGTATCTGATAATGCTGATGATAATATGAATAGATAATATTATCAAAAAGTTGATGAATTGGTCTATAAAAGTATTTATTAATAGCATCTGCCCAATATGATTTTGAATTTTCTATATTTAATAAATATATTGGTTTTATGTATTTTGAATATATATTTGGTAGAATAGATGACAAAAATTTAGTAGCAATTGTAGAATAGCAAATAGAATAACCAAGTAAAAGAATTATCAATTCTATAAAACCAAGTT